GAGCTTGATTTTCCTCAGAGTGACTTCTTTCAAGTTACTGTTGATTTATACCATGTTACATTGGTGATGGGAGAAGTGAATCATACTCTGCATGCGTTGCTTTTAGGACACTAGCAGCGAGACATTACATAATGCCAGGTTTGGTTTGCCTTTTTTTTTAAAGCCTTCCTGCTCTGCTTTCAGCATTTGCTGCCTGAAGAACTGATGAGCAGCTCTGGGTGTACAGCTGAGCCCTCACAACTGTGCTGCTCTGAGCCTGAAGCACTTAAGATCACAGAGTGGTTGAGGCTGCAAGGGACCTCTGAAGGTCATCTTGTCCAACAGCCCTGCTCAAGCAGGGCCAAATAAAGCCAGCTGCCCTGTACCATGTCCAGATACCTTTTCAGTATCTCCAAGGGTGGAGACTCCACAACCTCTCTGGGCAACCTCTGCCGGTACTGTGTCACCCTCACAGTAAAGAAGCATTCCTGATGTTTAGAGGGAACATCCTGCATTTCATTTTATGCCATGTGCCACTGGTCCTGTCACTGGGCACCACTGAAGAGATCCTGGCTCTACATTCTTTGCACCCTCCCTTCAGGTATTTACATGTATTGGTAAGATTCTGGCCGCCGCCCCCCCAACCTTCTCTTTCCAGCTGAACAGTCGCAGCTCTCTCAGCCTCTCCTCATAGGAGATGCTTCAGTCCATCATATTAATGGTTCTTTACTGGACTCTCTCCAGTATGTTCATGTTTCTGTTGTTCTGGAGAGCCCTGGACTGGACACAGCACTCAGGTGTGCCCTCACCAGTGTTGGGTAGATGGGAACAATCACCTCCCTCAGTCTGCTGGCAGCACTCCTCCTAATGCAGCCCAGGACATCATTAGCTTTCTGTGCCTCAAGGGCACACTGCTGGCTCATGGTCAACTTGGTGTTCACTAGGACCCCCGGGGCCTTTTCTGTAAAGCTGCTTTCCAGCCAGACACCCCCCCAGCATATACTGGTGCCTGGGGTTGTTCCTCCACAGGGGCAGGACTTTTTACCCTTAAAGATGTTCCCGTCAGCCCATTTCTCCAGCATGTTGAGCTCCTTCTGGATGGCAGCATGATCCTCTGGCATATCATAGAATCATAGGTTGGAAAAGACCTCCAAGATCATCAGGTCCAACCTGTCGACCCAACACCACCGTGCCTACTAAACCATATCCCCAAGTGCCACATCCACACATTTTTTGAACACATCCAAGGATGATGACTCTGCCACCTCCCTGGGCAGCCTATTCCAATGTCTGACCACTCTTTCAGTAAAGAAATTTTTCCTAATACCCAATCTAAACCTCCCCTGATGCAACTTGAGGCAATTTCCTCTCATCCTGTCGCTAGTTACTTCGGAGAAGAGACCAACACCTGCCTCACTACAACTGCCTCTTAGTTTGCTGTAGAGAGAGCAATAAGGTCTGCCCTCAGCCTCCTTTTCTCTAGCCTAAACAGCCCCAGCTCCCTCAGCTGCGCCTCATCAGACTTGTTCTCCAGACCCTTCACCAGCCTCATTGCCCTTCTCTGGACACACTCCAGCACCTCAATGTCCTTCTTGTAGTGAGGGGCCCAAAACTGAACACAGTACTCAAGGTGTGGCCTCACCAGTGCCAAGCACAGTGTCATGATCACCTCCCTACTCCTGCTGGCCTGATACACACCAGGATGCCATTGGCCTTCTTGGCCACCTAGGCACACTGTTGGCTCATGTTCAGCCAACTGTTGACCAACACCCCAAGATCTTTTTCCACCGGGCAGCTTTCCAGCCACTCCTCCCCAAGCCTGTAGCTTTGCATGGGGTGGTTGTGACCAAAGTGCAGGACCTGGCCTTGTTGAACCTCATACAGCTGGCCTCAGCCTATCTATGCAGTCTCTCCAGATCCCTCTGCAGAGCCTTCCTGCCCTCAAGCAGATCAACACTCCCACCCAACTTGGTGTCATCTGCAAACTTATTGAGGGAGCACCCAATCCTTTCATCCAGATCATTGATAAGGATATTAAAGAAGACAGGACCCAAGACTGAGCCCTTGGGAACACCACTCATGACCGGCTGCCAGCTGGATTACTCCATTCACCACCACTCTCTGCGCTCGGCCATCCAGACAGTTCTTTATCCAGCAGAGAGTACACCCTTCCAGACCATGGGCAGCTAGTTCCTCCAGCAGGATGCTGTGGGGAACAGTGTCAAAGGCCTTACTAAAGTCCAGGTAGATGACATCAACAGCCTTGCCTTCGTCCACTAGGCGGGTCACCTGGTCATAGAAGGAGATCAGGTTGGTCAAGCAGGAGCTGCCTTTCATGAACCCATGCTGGCTGGGCCTGATCCCCTGGCTGTCCTGCACGTGCCTGGTGAGCACACCCAGGATGAATCGGTCCATAATCTTGCCCAGCACCAAGGTCAGACTGACAGGCCTGTAGTTCCCAGGATCCTCCTTCCAGCCCTTCCTGTAGATGAGTGTCACACTGGCGATCCTCCAGTCATCTGGGACCTCCCCTGTTTGCCAGGACTGCTGACAGATGATGGAGAATGGCTTGGCCAGCTCCTCCACCAGTTCCCTCAGCACTCTTGGGTGGATCCCATCTGGCCCCATAGATTGTGAGTGTCCAGGTGGCATAGCAGGTCGTTAACTGCTTCCTGCTGGATTATGGGAGGTTTGTTCTGCTCTCCTTCCCTATCTTCCAGCACTGGGGGCTGACTACCCTGGGGATAACCAGTCTGACTTTTAAAGACTGAGGTGAAGGCGGCATTAAGTACCTCAGCCTTTTCCTCATCCTTGTTGGCAATATTCCCCCTCACATCCAATAAGAGATGGAGCCACTTCATTTGGTGTGACCTGCAGCCTTGTCAAGAGTACTCTCTGGCCCATCAAGATTGTTAATCAAGATGTTAAACAGAACTGGACCCAGTACGGGCAGTGGTACACCACTAGTCAGCACCTCCTGCTATACTTTGTGCCACAGATCACCACCCTCTGGACACAGCCATGCCGTCAGTTTTCAAACCTGACTGCTCATCCATCAGCCCCTACTTTCAGTAGTGTGCCCAGATTTTCCCTGGCCTTCCTTTTGTTACCAGTGTACTTAGTCAGGCCCCTTGTCTTTGACATCCTTTGCCAGATACAATTCCAGCTGGGCTTTGGCTTTCCTAAACTCATCCCCAGCTGATCAGCGTTTCTGTATTCCTCCCAGGTTACCCATCCTTTCTTCCACCCTCTGTAATGCTTACTTTTTGTGTTTGAACTTTGCCAAGAGCTTCTTATTTATCCACACAGGCCTCCTGGCATTTTTGCCTGACTGGGTTGGGATGGAACTCTTGAGCTTCCAGGGAGGTGATCCTTGAATACTAACCAGCATTTTTGAGCCCCTCTTCCCTTCAGGGCCTTGCCCCATGGGATGCTTCCAAGCAAGTGTTTGAAGAGTCCAAGTCCTGCTCACCTGAACCCCAGGTTTATGAGCTTGCTTCTTACCTTCCTGCTTGCCCTTAGGATTCTGAACTCCACTATACCATGGTCGCTGCAGCCAAGGCAGCCTTTGACTTTCACATCCCCAACAAACCCCTCCTTGCAGGGAGGTATTAGGTCCAGCAGAACATGTCTCCTTCTTTAGCTTCTCTATCACTTGGGTTAGAAAGGCGTCATCAGTACACTCCAGGAACCTCCTGGATTGCTTATGCTCTGCTGTGTTGTCCCTCCTGCACATGTCAGGTTGGTTGAAGTCCCCCATGAGGGCCAAGGTCTGCAAACATGAGGCTGCTTCCAGCTGTCTGTAGAAGGCCTCATCCACCTGTTTTTTCCACCCACTACGGTGTCAGCCTTATCTGTTTTCTCATTAATCCTCACCCATAAGCTCTCAGTTGGCTCCTCATCCATCCCCAAGCAAGTCTCCATGCATTCCAGCTATTCTTGCACATCAAGGGAAACACCACCATCCTCCTCTTTCCAGTCTGTCTTTCCTATAGTGCCTGTATCCCTCCATTACAACACTCCCAAGTGTTGCAAGTCATGGGAGCCATCCCACTATGTCTCTGATCCCAGCAAGCCTGTAGCCTTGCAGCTGCACACCGCTCGCTCTCACCATATTTATTCCCCACACTGTTCATAAGCATACATGCACTTAGGAGAAACACCCCAACATGCTTATTACCCAGAAGGGGTCTGGGGGGATTTCTCCATAATAGTACCTCATAGGTACACCCTTGCTTAAAGGCAAATGCTGGAAGTGACCCCTCTTAAGCCTCATCGTTTATTTTGTGATCCCTTCCTGTCATATCACCACAGACCCTCTTCTCATCAACTCTGTCCGTCACTCACAGGGTCCTGGTAACTCTGTCCCTGCCCTGTCATACCTAGTTTGAAGCCCTCCTTACAAGGTCAGCGATCTTTCTGGCAGAGAGACCTTTGCCCAGCTTGGTGAGGTGAATCCCATCCCTCCCAAGCAGATGCTGCTCCACAAGCAGGATCCTGTGGTCACAGAATGCAAAACCCTGTTGCCAACACCAGTTCTATGGCCAACTATTGACCTGCACTGAGGAGAGCATCACCAGGGCCCCCAAGCCTTTGACACTCCAGATCTCCGTAGCCCCTTGACAGTCTCCAGGTTGCCCCTGGTGGTTTTTATCACTGATGCCCACATGGAAGAACAGCAAGGGTAGCAGTCAGAAAGTTGGACAAGCTCAGGCAGCCCCTCCACAACATCCCAAGTCTGGGCCCCTAGCAGGCAGCCAACCTCTCTAGATAATAGCTCAGGTTGACAGGTGGGTGCCTCTGTCCCTGCAGCAAGGAGTCACTCATTATAATCACTCACACCTTCTTCCTAGAGGTTTAGGGTCAGGTGGCCTATATCTTTTGCTTAAAGGCACATCTGGCTTCTCTTTATTGAGTGTGGTGAACCTATTTTGTTGTTACAAGCCCTTAGGTGGGGCAGGAACTTTAGTACTAGAAGTAACCTGCTTCCATCCTTCCGCTTCTCCACAGGTTTCACTTACCTTGATGGTGGGGGTGGACACTGCCTGCTCCTCTATTTCAGATAGGGGCTGAGGCTCTTCAGGTTGTTGAGTTCTGGAGAAGATCCTGCTGTCTCCCATGAAACTACTTTGTTGCTGCACAGCCTGCTCACTTCCTCCTGTAACTCCTTCACTTGGCACCACAGTGCCTCCAAGACAACACAGCTCCTGCAGGACAGAGGACCATCTCTCCCAGCCTCAGAGAGGCCCTAGACACTCCCTGCAGTCTAGGGCTCGGAGGGCTGTGCCCATCATCCAAAGCTCTGCCTGCATCAAACCCTTTACGCTAGCAGGAGCGGCTGCTCCAACATCTGGGGGAACTGCCCCATGCCACCACCATATCTGAGACTGTTTACACTGGAGCAGAACAAGCTGAGTCCCACTCCATGGCAGCCTTTCACATAAACTTCTGCATTTGTTGGTAGTGCCTTGGGCCTGGGTCTTATATAGACCTTGACCAAGCACTGGCGAAAAGGGTGCTTGACCCTCCCTAATTAGGGGGCAGCTGCACCCTGGATCAAGGGCAGCTGATCGCGCTCGTTAGAAGCTGCTAGAGCTTCCTCAGGCCTGTGGCCTTATGGCTCCCCTTACCTTGTCCTTACCTAGGGACAGCACCACTCTCAGGTTTCTCAGAAGGTTCCCAGGGATTCCCCAATGATCCTGGACCTTGTCCCCAAAAGATCCATAAGGTCCCAAAGCAGAATCCAGAGACCGCTGCGCAAACCTTGGTGAGTTGCCTCTGGGAGCTGTGCTGGTTCCTTTGCTGGCAGTGTACAGGCAATTTGGTGTGGAGCTCAGCCGTTGCTTTCTTGGATTTACCCATCATTTAGGTTGGAAATGGCATAAAAATAATGGGCGTCGTTTCAGCAAACACTTGTTTGCAGTTGCTTTATACCTGTCTCGTACTTTGGTTCTGAACAAGGAGGTGGCACCATCTTTTTGGCGTACAACCGCAAATTGTGCACCCTTGGTGTGATACCCCAGCGCACACAGTAAAGGCACGCATTCCCAACCTGGCAGCACGGTGGTTTCTGAGCGTGGAGATCTGCGTGCCGAACAATAGCAGGGCCCATGCCTACCAAAATGTTTGCCGGAGTCCCTCGGCTGATCTTAATAAACATTGTGAGGAGTTGACATCTTCAAAAGGCATCTTGCCTGCATATCAGCAGCCGGATGATGAGCCCACAGTGCTCAAAGAGTGTAAAACATAAGCATTTCTTTTGCAAGTGTGCGTAAAGTGACATAGAGGGGTTTTGGTTTGCAAGGGGTTTGTTTTTGCTTAATTTCGTCCATGCAAGCACACAGCCTCCATTGGTTAATAACTTTTCCTTTGATTTTTAGGTTCAAATAAACCAAAATCTCAAAGCAGAACTCATTAAAGCATATTGAGTTTCATCTCCTCTTTGCATCAAACGCATACGTTATGCAGCTGGAGCCGCTCTCCCAGGGCAGGATTCGGAGCTTACCTTTTATCCACAGTTTACTTGGTACGTTGCCACGCACTGCCTCAGGAGGGAAAGGAGCAGTGATGGAAACAGCTTGTTTCCATCACTCGCGAGCTGTGGCACAGAAAATTTAAGCCGTTGCTGACCAAAGGCCTTTCTGGGCAAGTGCTGCTTGGACGGGCTCATCTTCGCAGTTGCTGAGGCAAAAAGGAAATGCAAACCACCTCTGGCATTTCCAACCAGAGCCATTAGAAAAGGGGGGCCGGCAGACATGGATCTGGAAGCGTGCCTGTCTTGCCAGGAGGGAATAATGGTGGCATTGTCTGAAAGTTCAGCCCGGAGTTCTTCTGCTACCTTGTTTTTCAGAAGTCCCTGCTTTGGAAACTGTCGTTTAAGTTTCCCTTAAATAGCAAGACCCTGGCGTCAATCAGGAGGCTTGGGGAATGAAGTGCAGTGGAGATTTTTTAGGACTAGTCTGGTTTATGGTCCCTGGGTGTAGGAGAGAAAAGACTGGGCAGCAGGCGTAGATTTTACAGTCTTTTTCTTTAAAAAGAACAGCTCAGGCTTGTACCTGCAGAAACCCCCTGAGTGACAGCCATCAGACAGCAGCTTTATACCACCAGCATCACCAGTGGCTCTGTGGCACCTTCCCTCCTATTTAAAATGCTCTCATCCAGGCATTTTTTTTTTCTCCTGAATTATCCCCCTGTTTTCTTGATGATTTTTTTGCTACCCTTAGGGGGGAATACTGTGAAGAACCGAAGATGTTTATGTTTTCTACTACATCGCTCTATGAATCTGAAAGTGTTTGTGGTGCTGTGACAAATTCCATCTGAGCTTTCCTTTCTAAACAGAAGAGAAACAGAAGATGGTGGTGAGAAGGGTGCAATGCTGGTGGGTGTGATGCAGCCCTCACCAGAGGGCTCCTGCTCCTCCGCCGTGGTTGCTAAATAGGCCCTGGGATTTCTCTGTTCAAAACAGACTTAAAAATGCCTCCCTTCTCTCCCATCAAAGCCTTGCTCTGCATTCTGTTTTTGCAGTTGCAGACCTGTGTTTTTAACTGGCAGGTTTCTTTAAAATGTTGGGGAAAATTCTTCAGTTTAGAAAACCATCACTAAAATGAGGTCAACTTTATTTGCACTCCCAGGAAAAATCTGGTTGGAGGAAAAGAAGTGGCGAGCGTGTGATGTACATGAACGATGCTGCCAGAATATCTCACAGACTTGCCTTTGTAGCAGGTTGGGGGAGTTAGCTCTGGGTGAGTCATACAGACAAACAGCAAGGGCCCTCTTCATTTAGCAGCCTGAATAACATTACCTCTATCCGAATTTAGGTCTGTTGGCTGGCTTATACACAAGTCAAATACGCTGCTTATTAAAGGCGCAATATCATATGCGTACCTGTGGTATATTTGTGTTTGATAATAATGCATTTCTCATGGGGGAACGCATTCTTATTTTAATGTATATTAGCATTTGTTCCACAGAAGTCAGTTTATTGCTTCAAATGCACTCGCTTATTTAGATACTGAAATTTGAAACTGTATTGCTAAACATCTTTTTCCCAGTCATTTAACTTGAAAAAATCATATACTGTCTCACAACTCCATCAAGCTATTTTCACTAACCAGACTACAACAGGAGTTACTTTCTACATTGTAAAAGAGTTTATTTTAACCCATGCCAGTCCTCTGCTTATCGCTGTTGCATCAGGTTGTGCTTTGGCAAGTTGAAAAGACAGGCAGCTGGGCCTTGATTTCCAGTATGAGGCATCCATGGGAAATTTTACTCTCTAAACCGCAGAAACATTGTCCCCTTAGAACTGTTATGCGGCACAGAAATAATGTACAGTTGTAAAAGTAGTTTATGCCTGCTCCTTTTTCTCAGATGTACGCAATGCTGTAGGCGTTTACCTCTGTCTGGCTTAAATTTCCAGACTGCTTTACTGACCTGGGGTGAGGAAAGAGTTAAGCTAAGAGAAAGCCCCAGATACTAAAAATAACATCCATCCCACCCCCCCCCCCCCCCCCCCCCCCCCTTGAGATTTGTAATCACAACTTGCAGTTAGACGATTTCTTCTAGCAGTGCTAACTGCGTTTTGATCATTTGAAATCGCAGATGGCTGGCTGGAGCTCAGAGGAATTCAGTCTCCTTCCTCTCTTCCTTCTGCTCTGCCTTCCTCCCCGCCCAGAAAAGTCTGTTTTCAGGTCATCTGTAAGATTCTATTATTTCTTGCTAAAGCTGAAGCAGATTTGGCTGCTGGTAGCTGAAAATACTTACAAGGTCTGCAGAAATGTGTGTGGTGGTTGAGCTGCCTGGAATTACCCTTCTTGTCCAGCATACCCGCCTGGATTGATGCGCAAAATAAAGATAGCCAGTTTTAGGCTGTCTCTAGTCCTAGAAATCTTGTTAATTGTTTATGAAATTATCTATGTTTTTAAATAAAAAAAACACAACAAAACCAAAAAAACCAACCCACAACCAAAACAAAAGCGGTTTTTGTTATTGCCCTGGGTGATTTATCCTATTTACAGGGCAGTTGTATTGGCGTAGCTGAATTGCAACTGGAGGCAGGGCAAAGTCAGGAATTGTGTTACGAGCTTGTTCTACCAGTGGATAATACGTTTCTGTAACTGCATCTTTTGTCTGCAGGAGGCACTTTTTATTGTTGGTGTAAGTGATTACAAAGCCTGAAAAAAAAAAGAAAATAATAAAAAAATTCGATGATTTCACATCCTACACAAATGCACACTCCCCCAAACCAAAAAGTGTTTCTGGCTGAGTAGCTGTCTGCCCCAGTTACTGCAAACACAAAACTGCTTTTGAAAATGGTAGCCTGCAGCACTTTGCAGCGTAAAACTTCTCTGGGGAAACTGAAAGTACCTCTTCAAGTAAAGCTAGCTATAAACTTGGATCAAAAAGAGAGATCTTTATGAGATCGGTTACATTTTATGGACCAACTTGGGGTATTTTTAATGTATAAAAAGGTGATTTTTAATGTCTCTCACCAAAGTTTTGACTCTCTAATTTCAGAGCAAGATTCAAACTGCAGCTTGTGACCTTGCTTAGGGGAGGAGTCAAAATTAAGCCAGTGCACTGACTTGGCTCACTCCTCCTTTACTGACTTTCCAACTGTTCTTTAAGAAGTTTCAGTGTAGCCACTTGACCTTCCAGTGAAGATTAAGAAACTTTAAGAGCTGTTTGAACAGTGGTTTAAAAAATCCCAAAGTGACCACAGGGGAAAAAAACCCACCACCACCCTGGAACTAAAGTTTAATTTTAAATAAGGGAAACGGAAGCAGAAGGATAGGGTGAGTTAGTTTGTGGTACTGTCACAGCTTTGGCGTGGGTCCCTCGGGCTCCGTTGGCGAAAACTCTATGCAAGTTTTTGGCTGGAGCAAATCTTTGCTGTCAGGGCAAGGCTCAGCCCTCCTGCTGGTACTGCTGTTCTCTGCAGAGATGTCTGCTGCATTGGTAAATATCTCTCCTGCTGATGGGAGTCTTGACATTGCTTTTCTGCGATGCTCGGTTTTATCATCCTGATCTGAGCAGAGAGGAGAGCGTCCGGTCGCTCTGCAGTCTTCACCTGACTTTGTGCGCTGGATTTTGGGACGCTCTGCTGGCCACCCCGTTTCTC